ACGTTTATTACATTTGTTCTATCTTCCGTTTGGATGTTTAATAGGGGTCCACTAGAGATGGATTCCCAAGTTGTAAACTGATGGAGTTTTGGAGTTTGGGTTTGATGGATTTTAATAATTATAATATTTTGCGGATTCTATTTTTAGTTCCTTCCAGCTTTAATTTCATTTCTTAATTTATTTTGTATTCCGTGTTCATTATAAAATATTAATTGTTTGATATTCCCTCGGGTTTGGGCCTGGGCCTGATCAACCTGTGTCTCGGATCCGAGGGGTATCTCAAAGCCTTACCCGACCGCTTTATCATCGCTGTTAACCGGGTAAGTTTCATGCATTACGCGTATATCAAAATATAGGTCTACACTTCCTCACATGATTTAAAGAGAAACAATTTTTTATGTGTTTCCAATTGTCTGCAAAATATTGTTCACCTACATAATGATGTAGTTCACCCGGGGACCCTTCGATAGAATACTACGCTTTGCGGGTACTGTTCCCAGGGAAAATAAAATAAAATTGTGAGCACTGTTCACATGAATAGTACCTACGTGAACTGTTCACTGGGTTTTAAAAAAAAAAAAAAATTATTTTGTGAATACTATTCACATGAATAGTACCCCGTGGGAATAGTACCACGGGTACTGTTTATAGGATTTAAAAAAAAAAATTCTTATTCTAGAGAATAATCGCTAGCTTCATGGATGATTTTGGTCCTATGATGCTCAATGATAAGTTTTTGCCTTAATTGTACTAATTATGATATATATATATATATATATATATATATATATATATATATATGATCCGTTCAAACTGTACACATTAGTGCTCCTTGTGCATGAGAGGCAAGCTTGGGAATGGGGGCAGAACATTAACCTCTCTTATTAAAGATACGAGCTCACGAAACTCTGGAAAATCAGTCTTCCTTATTAAATAGATGAGCTCACGCAACTATAAAAAATTAGTCTCTCTTATTAAAAAGATGAGATGACGAAACTCACGAGGATGAACCTCTCATATTAAAAGGATAGGTTCATGAAGCTTGGAGAACCTACTCCTTTTTTAAAGGGCGAGTTGAATGAAACTCGTAATTGTCATCCCCGTATTATAAGGGATTGATATAAAAGTTCCCCGTACTATAAGGGCCCGAGCAGAATGAAGCTCATAATTGTTGTCCTCCGTATTAAAATGGGTCGAAATCAACTTGTAAAATATACCTTCCTTTGTAAAGGGCGAGCTGAGTGAAGCTCGTAAAATATATTTTTCATTTTAAAGGGCGAGTTGAATGAAACTCGTAATTGCCATCCCCGTATTATAAGGGATTGATATAAAAGTGCCCCATACTATAATGACCTGAGCTGAATGAAGCTCATAATTGTTGTCCTCCGTATTAAAAGGGGTCGAAATCAACTTGTAAAATATACCTTCCTTTTTAAAGGGCGAGCTGAGTAAAGTTCGTAAAATATATTTCCCTTTTTAAAAGGCGAGTTGAATGAAGCTCGTAATTGCCATTTCCCATATTATGAGGGATTGATATAAAAGTGCCCCGTATTATAAGGGCCCTAGCTGAAAGAAGCTCGTGATTGTTATCTTCCGTATAAAAAGGGGTCGAAATAAAAAATCAACTTGTAAAATATACTTCCCTTTTTAAAGGGTGAGCTGAGTGAAGCTCGTAAAATTTATTTTCCTTTTTAAGGGGCGAGCTGAGTAAAGCTTGTAAAAATACTTCCCTTTTTTAAAAGGTAAGCTCATTCAGCTTAAGAAAGCCTACTCCCTCAGCTCCCCTTCAGCTCATGAAGTTCGGACAAATCTTAAGACATCAACCAAAAATAAAAATAAAAGGTCGCCCAACAAGGGTTAACCTAAAAAGAGATTGATTTATATTAAAGAGACGTCACTTAAAAAAACACTTTGACATTCTCGATGTTTGACAAGCAAGCATGAGAATGGGGGCAACTGATAAGAATAAAAATAATAGGCAACTCAAAGTCAAAAGAGAAATAAGATAAGGGTAAGGGATTTATCTTACCCAAAATCTCTATGGAATCATAAAAAATATCTGGTTACCATATGTAACCAGAGTTACCATTCCTGTAAGAAATAAACGATATCATCTTGGATCAGAGAAAATCTCGTTTCAACAACTACTACCATTAATGCTTTTATAAAAGAGATGATGGGTCAACCTAAAAAGGTATGTCATAAATTTTATATGTAATACTTATCGGATATTAGATTGTCAAGTACTAACTTGACCGTTGGAGTGCATCCGGCCGGCACCACGCCGGTCATCACTTCTCTTGCTTTGTAAGAATCGCCACCGACTCAGGAACATGTAGATTTTTGGCATCAACAGGTGGTGTGGTGGTGGTGCCGCCGCTGGCGATAATTGCCTGTGATAATTAAGTGAATTTTTTCTTTTTTAAAAAAAAAATGTCAATTGAACAAGAAATTAGAAGGTCAATCATAATCATCACTAACGCTATATTGACTTTCAGTGATCGGATCAGGTTTAGTTTTGTAAAATCAAATGGAATTCAGGTTTAGGTTTGTAAAATCAAATGGGAATACATGAGAGCAATTTAGATCATAATTGTACAATTCACGTATTTGTAATTAGTTTTGTTTAGTAACACTTTTACACCTTATTCTTTTTTTGTAATTGTCATATTTGTAATTATGACCTCCAAAGTTCAAAATTAGTCATTTATTAAATTTTCCCTATAACAAAATTAAGTCAAAAATAAACTTTGGCCTCAAGTCTATAGTTGAATAGTTTGTTAAAAAAAATTGACATATTTAATTTGTTAAAGGGATAAATAATTACTCAAAACACGAAATTACAATATGAGATCTCTCCATATCCTCATAGATTCATATTGGAGGTTCTCTCCATCATTAATGAGATCACCAAAAAAGCTTTTTAAGCTGTGTCCAAGATTTACGAGAAAACCATGTAAAGAATCTCGCCACCGTTCTAAGTAATTAAAAATTCATGATACGAGCATGAAAAGGAAAAAGGTTTAGATCGCTAAAATTCTCATTAGCTACTTAAAGAATGTTTAATCCAGTTTTCTGTTTATTAAGAATTAAATATGTGTTTAGTTGATAGTTTTTAAAAATAATTTTCAGACAGTTTCTAAATTTATTTAAATAATTACTATTATTAGTATTATGAAAAAACTTTGACCTGATTTTCTGATGGGGATGTTGCTGGGTTGTACCTAAAGCTAAGCCTCTTTGCTCCCGGTATGATATTGATAGCCGATCACACACTGATTACGTGTGTGCCACCTTCTAGTATTAAAATAATAATTTTGACATTGTTTGATGACGTCACATCCTTAGGAACAAAAAATAATAAATGCCAAATATTAAGCAACATTACCATCAAATGAATTCTGGAAGATAATGAATAACACAATTTAAGATGCTATCAAATTGGCCTAATAATTGTAATATGTATATCCACATCTAGATATATATATGTTTAAAGTTATGATAGATACATCGCAACAATGTGCCAAATGAGAGGGCCAAACAATTCAACACCATCTCATTCATTCAACTTAATTAATTATCCACCTCGAATGAATTAAAAGAGTGTTGAAAAATTCCGCAAATCACTTTAGTTAAAACAATCATTTTTAACATTCTCATTTTGTTATATATATATATATATATATATATATGATAATTTAGGTACTGAAAAAGTTGTTGATTTCAAGGATGAAGTATTTTAAGGCCATGAAAAGTGAAATAATCTAAACAAAGACAAATAATGAGAAATTTGTTTTCATCCACGATTACTGTAAAATTTAAACAATAATCTACCTTTTTACTTGTTTTTTATATATCTTCCTTTAATAAATAATGAAGTGTTTTGAGCTATTTTAAAAAAAAAAAAATTATTAGATGGTTCTTGACAAGAAAAACTTTATTGCACCCCGTTGTGCAACGGACATATCCAACCTTTTTCACAATAGTGTATTACTTGGACAGTTTCATTATCGCAAATATATTATAAGAACAGTTTTATTGCACGCAAGAAAGTTTTTTTCATTAGAAAAAATTATTAGATGAATTTTTACCATTAATACTTGGTGAAATAGTTAAATTTAGACTTTTAAATTAAAAAAAAAAAAAGGTTCAACCAAAATGTATTAATATATTTTTTTAAAAATCTCGATATTAATTTTTATTGAATTTTTTTTTTCACCCCAGTATCTCAAATGGACAAAATCATCATGTCATAATTTCTGCCTTTCCAGAGCCTTCGTAGTATAGTGAATATAAGTATCTCTCAGATTGTGTAGTATAGTCAATATAAGTATCTCTCAGATTGTGTGGGATTCTCTTCTTGTCATAAAACAATGGTGTCGGTAAGGTTCATCTACAGAACTCATTGACTTGTGGTAAGAGGAGGTTGTGTCAGATTATGTTTTCTGATTTCCTATTGTAACAAATTTCTTTGTAAAAAAAAAAAAAACTAAAATAAAAGATTATTATTTGGTATGGTTAAAAAATAATAATAATATTAATTATAAGAGAAAATAAAAGAAGAAGTGTATGGTTGATTGATGAAAGAAAAAATAGAAAGTTTGGAAAAATAAAAGAAAATTATTTTAATAAATTTATTAATATATTATTTTTCATAAATTTTGACACAAATTTCATTATTAAACTAAACTTGAAAACGAAATTCCTACTTGAAATAAGTAAATAAAGAAATTGCATCCTATCATATCACCATCCCATTGATGTTGCCCCTATGAATAACCCAAAAATAGAGTATTATTATACTAACAAAGGAATCCATATTTCGAGAGAAATTAGTCCTACTAAAGGGTTTATATGCCTTCTTCTCAAAATATATAAATTAATACTCCCTCAATTCAAATCCCAAAATATATGTCCCAATAAGTAATCAGATCCTTTGATATGGAGTGGAGGAAGCAAACTCATGTTTAGAGCCAGTTTAGAACCCGCTGCACAGGATCAAATCCAAATCCGAAATAAATATATGTATTTAACTTTTAAAGAATATCCAGAGAATATAAAAAACAAAGGGACACTGCATTTCTCTGGAACACAATCATAAAATGATTCGAATCATTCTTCACATACAACCAAACTACTTTGTGACAGCCTTTCTCTTAAAAAAAAAAAAAATATAGGAAAAAAAAAAAAAAAAAAACACATCCAAAAATAAAAAGTATATACACCATGCGTGTGCAAAACACAAAAGAAAGAAAAAGCAGAATGTGACAACTGACAACCATGAAAGCAAATATTACCTGTTATTTTTGGTTCTCATGACTAAGTACCAAAAATTATACCACAGCTTGCATTGGCCTACCATCTTCTTCATCCAATCTCTCTACAATCTTAACCAGTTACTAACTACATTTTATAATCAAATAAAAATCAGTAACTAATTTTTAATTAATTATTTATTAAATTAAATTAATCATCTCTTCTTGTTCCTATCCCTGCCTGAACCAGAAAAAATAGATCCCAAACCGAAGAGACTCGCCGTCGGGACATTCAACACCGGATTGATTCGAACACCATTGCCGTGGTGAGACCCATAATTCTTCTTCAATGGAGGCTTCTGAAAATTGCTCGATTGCGACTGTTTCATCGGCGTTAAGGGTTGATTCTTATGTGAATTGTGTTGCTTTTGATTGTGGCTGTCCTTGGAAAATGACGATCTCTTGACACTCTGAGCAGAGCCGGTCGAATTGCTTCGCGATAGAAGTGGCAGAGGACACAATGTCCTCGCGTACCCACTCCCGCAATTCAAACTACTGCTTCGCTTGAACCGCCAAAACGACTTCGAATTTCGCTTTTCATCTGATTCGGAGCCCACCACTTTGTCGGTGATTGGAACGTTGCGTGGCGGCGACAGCGGTGGTGGCGGCGGCGGAGGCGGAGGCGGTGTTTCCGATTGACGCAATTGTTTTGGCCTGACGATTTTTTTCTTGATTTGAATGGGGAGAATTTTACCGTCGAAGAAAAGTTCGTCGGCAGAGGAGGATTCGAGTTCGAAGCTCTCGAGAACACAGAAATCGAAATCGATGCTGGAGGAAGATGAATTGGATCTGAAACGGTGTTGTTCGACTGGGACAATATCAGTTTGGGAGAGATCGTGGGAAAATGAGATTCTAGGACTCATACTCAAACAGGAATTTTCAGAGCATAGTTCGATCGCCATAGGCTTTGAATTTTCTAGAGAAACAAACAGGTGAGTTTTAAAGAGGGTTTTTTTTTTTTATAGTCGCAGGATAACTAAAGAAACATTAAGATTCAAACCTAAAAATTCAAAGAGTAGAATTAAAAAACGCAACCGTCAAAAGAGAAGTTTGAATTATGGGGAAAAGAGAAATTTTTCTGATTGGTGGAGTTTGAAAGAGGTGAGAAATTCAATTGTGAGATTGGAAAGTCATGAGAGTCGGAGAAAAACGAAGCTTCGCAGTTATGTCTTAGGCATAATATAAATGAGAAAAAAGCGAAGTTTTAAAAGTGTGAGAAGATGGGCTATAAACTTGGGTTTTGATGGAAACAAGTGCTTGAAGATTAGGGACCCTTTTGAAAAGTAACCAACTGTTAACTGGTTTTTAGGAGGAGATTATAAGAGACGTGGAGTGATGAAAGAGAAAGATTAATTTATGAATGGAGTTGGTTACTGAGAGACGAATGTGGAGAAGCTATAGACAAACAGGATGACATGTTTATGCTGACGTGGAACAATTATTTAATAACTAGAGATAAATACGATTATATTACATATCTATATCTATTATTAAAATTGTAAAATATTTCATTATTTATTTATTAATATAAAAAATATTTATTTCTTGATATAAAAAGAGTTTTTAAAAGAATTTCTATAAAATTCTAACACAAATTAACTATTTATCTATTTATTATGAATTTTTTAATAAAAAAAAATTTAATTAGACACAAATATATTTAAAAATAAATAAAATAATTTCTATTAAATTATACCAAAAATTACCTATTTTAATTCTATCACATATAACTTGTATTTATTTATTTATTATGAGTTTTTTAATATAAAAAAATCTATTTATTATGAGTTTTTTAATAAAATAAAATCTAGTTAGACAAAGACATATTTTTTTAAAAAATAAAAAGAGTTTCTAAACTCTAACACAAATTACATATTTATCTATTTATTATGAGTTTTTTTAATAAATGAAAATCTAATTAGACAATGATATATTTAAATAAAATAAAATAATTTGTATAAAACTCTACCACTCTATTTATTATGAATTTTTTAATAAAAGAAAATCTAATTAGACAAGGATATATTTAAAGAAAATAAAATAATTTCTATAAAACTCTACCACAATTGCCTATTTTATTTTCTAAAAAACTCTATCACATATAACATGTATTTATCTATTTATTATGAGTTTTTTAATATAAAAAAATCTAATTAGACGAAAATATATTTAAAGAAAATAAAAAAAAAATTTAAAAGAGTTTCTATAAAACTCTAACACAAATTACCTATTTATCTATTTATTATTAGTTTTTTAATAAAAGAAAATCTAATTAGAGAATGATATATTTTAAAAAAAAAAAAATAATTTCTATAAAACTCTGCCACAAATTACCTATTTTATCTTCTATATAATTTTATCACATATAACTTGTATTTGTCTATTTATATTGAGTTTTTTTAATAAAAGAAAATATAATTAGACAGGGATATATTTAAAGAAAATAAAATAAAATCTACAATACTCTACCACAAATTACCTTGATGACGAATTCTTATTAAAAAGTTTAATAATTGAATTCCTATTAAATAATTGAATTCCTATTAAAATTTTAATTAATAATTAATGTTTTTATCTCTTTGAAATTCTAACACAAATTACCTATTTATTATAATTTTTTATTTTTTAATTAATATATGGTGTTTATAAAAATTTCTATAAAATCAAATCACCTATTTATTCTGAGTTTTTTAATAAAATGAAACCAAATTAGGCAAGGAAATATATAAAGAAAATAAATAATTTAGTTGATCTAATTAGCCAAGGAAATATATAAAAAATTTAATAATGAATTCCTATTAAAAAGTTTAATAATTGAATTCCTTTTAAAATTTAATAGGATTCTTTATAAATTATTCCTATAATTTAATGCATAACCAATTTATACATTTTACATAAAAATAAATAATAAATAATAAATAATAAAGAGTTTATATTACATAAAAGAGATACAAGGATTAGAGTAGGATCCTAATTATATTATTTTACTATAAATTTGCATAGTTTTATAAATAGATAAAAACCTGGAGAGTTCGGTACATATATATAAAAGAGAGAAAAATTGAAAAGAAATGATTTATATCACATAAAAGAGAAGAAGGTTTAGAATAAGATTTCACAAAAATAATAATAATAATAATAATAATAAATAAATAAATAGATAATAAAGAGATTATATTACATAGAAGAGATAGAAGGGTTAGGCTAGGATTCTAATTATATTATTTTGTTATAAATTTCAACTCTTTCGGGGTTAGACTAGGATTCTAAAAATGTTATTTTATTATAAATTTGCATAGTGAAAAAAAAAAAAAAAAAAAAAAAAAAAAAAGAAGAAGAAGAAGAAGAAGAGAGAAAAGAGAGAGTTCGGTATATATATATATATATTATTATTATTAAAAATACAGGGGGTTAGACAATTTTAAACCATTAATTTATAATTAATTTAGTAAAAGAATTTAAATAAAATACCAATAAGCAAAGCCTAACTAAAATAAATACATACTATTATTACTATGCAAAGATTGAGGGTGAATACATTTTTAAAGACAAACTAAATAAAATAAATGATAAAAAAAAAAAAAAAAGTTCCCACTGACAATAAAAAGAAAATGTAGAAGCATATAGATTTATAAAGGTTTGTGAAATTATAGGAAGTACGGACACTTTTACAAGGGACACTTCATATACATGTCCATAAATAAAAATTAATTTTAATATTTTGGATACTATGCCGACATTTTTTTTTTGTTTTTTTTTGTTTTTTTTTTTTGTTACAAGGCAAGAAGGGTTAGAAGTTAGATTAGCAGATGCCTCGATAGCACAATAGTTAGTGTATCCTGTGGATTTTGGGAGTATTTCTGGACACTTCCTAGACATTTAACAAATTTCTACCAAGTAATCTTAAAAATAATATGAATACTATCATGACAAAATAATGAAATAATGGTATATATGATATAAAAATTATTACAATAATAACATAACTTCATTTTCTAATTCATTTCATAGCAATACTTAGTATATATATTATAAATGAATTAAAATTTTATAATACTATTACTGAAAAATATATATTTATTTGTAGCCGTGTTTACACTGTATCCATATCTTACTTTTTTAAAATTTAAAGTATCAACATATCCGTGTCGTATGGTATTTATATTTCATTTCTGTATCCGTACTACATAAATGAAATTGCTTTGTCAAAGATTTACCATATGAAAAGAGCCCTTGAAATAACGGATACTACGTAGGTGAAATTGCTTTGTCAAAGATTTACCATATGAAAAGAGCCTTTGAAATAAATTCTTTTGCCATGGAAGTTATTACATGCAACAATGGTTATATCACAATTAACGAGTAGATGAAGACTATTGTGTAACTCTGCTATTTGCACCAAATACACCATTATTATTTTTAATGCCTTTACCTCTCTTTTGTCAAGGACTGCTCAATTCAATTATTCAATTATGGTAGGTATTAATATTATGCGGATGTTTTACCTTACATTTTTAATCTTCTTAATCGTGACCTATAACCACGTTGGTTTCAAATTCTCTCAATTTGGTAGTAGTACTGCAGTGCAGACAATGACTGACATGAAATCACTTCTTTCTTCCCATAATAAAAGTCACTTTTTGAGTTTAAAAAGCATCTCCAATAGTTGTGTATAAATATATATATTTTTGTATAATTTTGATGTGTCATAATAAATTTATATAAAATTTTAAATTATTTATTTTTTGTAAAAATATATCTTCCATATAATTTTTACAAACCTATTTAATATAAAGTTAATTCGTTAATAGAAAATGTTGTTGTGTAAAATACATAATAATTTTATACATTGATAATGTAATAAGGTATCTTAACAGACGGTTGGAGATAAAAGAAAATTACACATCATAGTGGCAGTGCATTTGTTGGAGATGCTTTTAAATATTTTTTTTAGGGAGACAATATTCTCACTCCACTTTTTCTAATTGTATTTCATTTACCTTTTTCTTTTAAATGAAATAACAAGAAGATCCTTAAATTCATTAATGCACCATCCATTAATTTATAATATCACAACTACCCTTTATACAACAATAAATTTTTTTTACCTTCTTTACGTTTTTTTTGTTCCTTTCTTTTTGCTTTTTCCTAATGTCCTCTCAAAGAAAATAATTTATTCAATACTAATAATTTTATTTTTGGCAGTCAAAAGAGATTATTTATTCTATAGTGATTTTTTTTTTTTTTTTTTTTTATACAATCGAAAGAAATATTTATTCAACAAAAATAACTTTATATGGTGTTAAAAGAGATAACTTTTTTTTTTTTTGATAATTTTTTATAAGTCCTATCAAAAGAAATAATTTATTTAATAAAAATATATATTTTTTAATTTATTTGATAAAAATAACTTTATATGGTTTTGGGCCATGATGAAGTTGTGGACCTCTTAGGACCCTTGGTTGTTTAGGAAGATTCCTCTGAGATTGCAATTTTCGTGGGCGGGTACGTTTGTGGGCGGGTGCATGGTACTGTCATGCTACCGTGCTGGCTAGTTACAAGCGTAGTTTGGATGGAATCAGTGTTGGTTTTGTTTTGATAGGCGTTGTCCTTTGATCAGTGATGATGATGGTTGTTTTGAGGATCAGTTGTGGTGATTGATTTAGTTGTTATTGGTATGGCTGTAGTTGCCATTTTCCTTGAGGAATTCTTGCGTGATGACGCTTTTGGGATCAAATCGATTGATTGATGTTTCGGGTAGTGAGAGCACTGCACTGTTAGTGTCACCTTTAGATTCGGAGTTAGATTGTTAGAGTCTTACCGTTGTGGTAAGGTCTCACGTTTGTTTGGAGTCAGATTATAGTTAGGACTTGTTTTCCTTTTACCTAGACACTCTAGGACATGATGTCCATAGGGTTCATTGTTACATCATCTTATCTTCTACAGTTTCGTTTACTACCATGTTAGTAGTATGATTTATGTTATTGCGATGCATGAGTAGGTGGAGGTCTATCCACATTTGTTTTCTTATTGTATGACATTAGTATACCTTATTTACATACTTAGAGATGCCACATTGTTACTATGTTTTAATAATATGCTTTTGCGTTACGTGGAGACATGCTGCATGTACCTTTGATTTTATCTATGTGAGTAGATTTGCTTACTTGGTAGTTGCATTCCTTGTCATATGCATGACTTTTATGTTTAGTTTTTCCCTTTTGTTTCCTCCGGTCGCACTTAGTGCGTATGTGGGTTTTGTAATGGTTCCA